GTACACAAGAAGCTGCCCTAACCATGGCTTTTCAGAAGGTAACCTTTGGAACATCTTTTACAATGGGATTGATCATAAATACAAGCTTTCTCTCGATACCGCGAGCAATGGTAACTTTCATGACCAAGTCGGTGCCGGAGGCAAAGCTTTTGATTGAGAATCTCGCTGCTAGTGATGCCAATGCGTGCCCTGACTACAATAGAAGGTGAAGACCACGAGCTCATCAGAATCAGCTCAAATCTCGGAGCTAAGGAACATGGTTTCACAACTACTTAAAAGCCGACAAGGAGTTCACGCCATTGAAGATGCCCTAGCCACAAATGAAGACACTCTTATGGATTTCATGAGAGATGGCGCTGAAGAGAATCTAGAGGAAGTCAACTACATTGGAGGAAACTATGGGAATAGAGGATTCAATCCACCATTTCGCGCGCATCCAAACCTATCATACCGGAGCAACAATGTGGAGAATCCAAATGACCAAGTCTACCCCAATCAAGGAGCGTATCAAGGAGGCCAATACCAATCCAAGCCACAACAAGTCTATCCAAGAGGGATGTACCAAGTGAAGCAACCATTCACTTTTTCTCAAGAAACAAATCCAACCCAAACCGGAGAGAAGGTTGACGTGGCCTTGAAGAAATACATGGAGGAGCAGAGATTGATCACCAAGAACCTATATGAGAAGCTTGATCACATGTTTGGTGATCTAAGCAGCAAGTTTGGGTCTCTCTCTACTCACGTTCAAAAGCTTGAGGTGCAAATCGCTCAAACAGCCGAGGCGGCCAAGAAACAAAATGAGGTAAACACTCAAAAATTTTGTAGTGTTGTCTCATCTATAGATGGCACTATTGTTCCTACACTATCTCAAGGGGAAGAAGAAGAAAATGAGCCTAGGAGAGGCACAAACCGGAGAGATACAGTTGGGAATCAAGAAGAGCTTACAAGAGAAGACTTGAAGGCAAGCCACTACAAAAACAAGAAGATCCGGGGAAGTTTGTGATAACTTCAAGTATCAATGGCATTCAACTCCACGATTGCCTATGTGATACTGGTGCTAATGTTAATCTAATGTCTCTTGCACTTGCAAAAGACTTGGGATTCAAGGAATTCAAGAGCCCCAAGATAAGAGTCGAGTTCGCGGACTATCGTGCATGGAACCTATGGAATGCTTGAAGATGTCATGATGGAAATAGGGGGTCGATCAGTCCCAACTGACTTTCAAGTCATGATTTGGGAAGGCTCAAAGAGGAATCAACTGATTCTTGGAACCCCATTCCTTGCTACAGCTGGAGCGGTCCTAAACTACTTTGGGAATCATCTATCTTTTGGCCACATCCGGCAAGATATCTTTTTCCCAAGTGTAAATTTCAGGTCAGTGCCAAGTGCGACCAAGCTACCACCAGAAGAAGCCACTCTCATTACCAAGAAAGAAGCTATGCTGCATGGAGAAAGAAGAGAGAGTGAGCGCTACCCAAAACCAAAGGAGAAGAAGAAAACATTGGAGCCGAGGCATGAAAATGTCTTTAAGGAATCAACTCCATCTTACTTCCAACCTTTGACGAGTATGGAGCTGAAGAGGAGACTAATGGTGCACCTAATCTCTTTCACAAGATAAGAATCTTTACACCAAAAGATTCGGAGCTTAAAGGTGACCAATCCATTGAAGAGAAGCTTGAGAGAACTATGAAGCTTTTCCCCAAGGCATTGGTTTTCAAAGATGATGTGAGAGATGACATGGCGCGACAAACCACCACAAGAAGCCACTGAACCGGAGAATGGAGAAGCTAAAGGGATCCTTTGCCCTTCAGCCACTCTTCACCACGATTGAAAGAAAGAAAAGGAGTCAAGCTAAATGACTTAAAACAAAAGCGCTTTATGGGAGGCAACCCATATGGTTTTTAACTATCTATTTCTATTTTGCAGGAGTTTTTCAAAAATCAAACAAAAATACAAAAATATTTTCTTAGGATGAAGACCCAAAGGAGACCAAACAATGGAAGTGTCCCACCCAATGAGCCCACCCTTGTACAAGGCGTTTCTCTTCAAAAGGTAAGTAAACTCTCACCTAGTATTCATTTCTAATCACTCTTGATCTTCACTTGAAAAATCGTTTAAACCATTGCACTTTACCAAATATATTTCATGGTTTAACTTGATTTACATTTTGATGATTGGAAAGAATACATAATCACTTGTCAAAACTCATTTTGCTCACTGAAATTACAAGAGATTGAACTATAGTTTGAAATTTGGATCATTGACCAAGACCAAATAAGAATTTATAGTTTGTGCTTTAATCTCTTGGATTGTGAACTTCAAGTTGGTCACTTGAGGATCACAATCTGAGAAACCATCTAATCATGATTTCAAGTGTTTTGCAAGGAGTTAACCATTTGACAGGAAGGAGAAATAAAGCAAACCTATCAACCACCTAAAACCAACATGCATATGGCGGCCAAAGGGAGGTTAAAAGGAGATACATAGGCCATCACACGAAACAAGGCGGCCACCACTTGGGAATGACACAGGAGGGTTATTAAAACAATTCGGTCGAAGAAAATCTCAATTGGCCCGAGTGGATTTGAAGAAATTCAATCCAGGACATTTCTCTCGGCCATACCGCGCACAAGGAGACCAACTACGGCCAACTCCTAAACGGCGTGACCAAAGTCCACCAAACTTCACAGGCGACCATAAAATCACATTTTGGTCGGCAAATCCAAAAGATAGGACGGAGAAATCATCACGGATCATGAGATAGACGACGGAGCTCATTCTGGCCGATGGCGCGCAAGCAATATGGCCGACAAAACCAAATCACGGCATAGGCGCGCCAACCGGTTGGAAAACTCTTCTTTGAGCTTAACTAACACTTTTATGCAGGAAGAAACGAAAAGGAACGAGCCAAACTTCACATGGCCAAGGAAACTCCTTCCCGGAGCCGACTTGACCATTTTGTGAAGGAAGTCTCAATCCCGCTCGTACAAATGCTCCCAAACTTCACCAGAGGCTCATAAAATACCAGGTTGGTCGATGAAATTTCAATATAGGTCATGAAATTTTTGACGGTTTGTTCTGTAGTTCACAGCACCACATTTTGGCCGACCGAATATACCAATCTCGGCCAAAACACAAACCGGCGGAAACCAAGGCCTGAAATTAAAAACTCACCGACCAATATTGCCTAAAGAAGTGTAGAATGACCCAAACCAGAACTGATCTTCATTATAAATTGGTCGACATTTGGTAACATCATCCTAAACCTTTTTCTTTTCAATTTTTCATTTGAACTTCATGTTATGCCTCTCTTAATCCGATTTAATTTCACCGGGACGGTGCAAGTTAAGTCTGGGGGGATTACTAACAATGTTTGTTCATTTTGGCATTTTCATTTGCATTTTTCCCTTTTTATCGAGTCGTTTTTATTGAGTCAAAATTTTTGTCGAGAATCATGACCTTATCTTGGATCTAACCATGATTGTACTAATGTTTAAGTGACCATTGAGCAGTTCTTGGCAATACATCTTACCACAGGTGCACTATGAGTTGATCGATCTACCAAAAACGCCTACATCTCTAAAGACTTGAGAAGGATCCATCTTTGACTCCGCCCTTAATGAACTTAATCTTCTCAGCTAGGGGCTTGGCATACAAATGGCATGATTCCTCATCCTCTCCATCAAATGAAAAAGTCTTAGTGAGTTCGTGCTTCCCTCTCTCTCCCCTTCAAATTTAAAAGAAAAAGCGTAAGGTCCAAGTAACCGGGGATTCGGTGGCAAACACCATCAATACTCGCGTCTATGGAAGGCCTATGGAAGGGGATTCGGTGGCAAACACCATCAATACTCGCAAAAAGCCCTCTATAATAAAGAGAAGGAGTTGAATAAAAAAATACTTCGCTACCCTAAAAAAGGGATGAATCAACTCAAAGAAGTGAGAAGAGAGAGAGGAGAAACATGGAGTAAAAAGACAAGTGCCAAACAAGGGGATGAGTAAAGAATCTAAAGCCGGCTGATCGATACTCCCTAGTTGAGACCACACCTTTAGAAATGAAAGGAGTCAAGGGTGGCGAATTGGATTGTCCAAGGAGAGGTGGACCGCTTTGGGAAAATCGCAAAACTCATGGTATGTACTTTGTTCTTAATTCAAAACTTGCCAATGCTGTTTCATGTGGATTACTAAAGCATAAGTCAATTTGGATTTCCAAAAGATTTGAGAGTTCTCACGTTTTCAAACCTCTTTTCCTGCTTAGTTTGCTTGGGGACAAGCAAAAGGCTAAGTCTGGGGGAGTTGATATCACCATATTTTACATGATTTTACTATATATTTACCTATGTTTTCAAACGGTTTTTGCAAGATTCTTTGCCTTTAGAGGTAGTTTTCTTGTATTTGTGGGATTTGAAGTCTTTGTAGGTGAAATAATCAAAAAGGATGCAAAAAGGAGTAAAAGAGCCCTAAATCAAGATCCATGCAAGTTTCCAAGTCAAGAAGATCATTTTATCTCCAAGTGTTAGTTCTCGCTAGCGCGCAGAACGAAGCTTCGGAAGTTTGGCCGCGCGCGGAGGAGTTCCCGACGTCCAAAAGTTACGATCTTGATATGGAAAGATAGATACTTGAGTCATGCATCACGTCGAAGTGGAATGAAGCCATTTGGATCAACTATGAGGCCTAGACTTATTTTCTACCGAGACATGTCCGGTAAGCGAGTAAACGAAGCCCATGGAGGATTTGGAGTGTCTAATGGCCCGAGCAGCAGCGCCAAAGGCCTTGATCGAATAGAGAAGAGGCCTGGCTAATGTTTGGAGCTTTCCTTGGTACAATGTCGGCCCATACACGACGTGGAGAAGAAGGCTCGCATGGGAAACTTTCCTTTTCCGGCATGAAGAAAACCCTACGCGACTTCGCCCATATATACATGTTTTTAGCCGCTGAAGAAGAGAGAAGTCCGAGTCCAGAAAATTACAAAGAGTTACGTGTGAGAGAGAGAGAAGAGAAGAAGCCCTAGGAGATCGTCCAAGAAGAAGGAGGCGCCGCTCAACTCTTGTTCTTTCTTTTTCATTGTTTCCATTTCTATAAACTTGATCTTAAGAGTTTTCAAGGGAGAATCCGACTTTGTTCATCAATAGAGAAGCTTTCTTCATCCCTTTATCTCTTTTAATACTTGCATAATGTTTACAATCATGCTTTGCTTGCTTGTTTGCATCATGGCCGAGTAGATCTCTTAGTTAGGCCGAGGAGATCTATGGTGGCCGTGATGATTTGATTGTGTTGCAACTTATTGGGATTTATCTTATGGATCTTCACCTTTACTTGAGCTTAATGCATGATTACTCTACCGTACATCTAGTAATCTGATCTTAGAGAAATAGAACCACGACAGTGCTGAATCTAGATCTCAAAACTAGTATTTGGTGAGCAATAGATCATAGCCAACGAAAGCTGAGTTATGGTTTATTGTGAACAATTGAATCTTGAACCTTTAATGCATGTTTGCAATTCTAATAGCCAACGAAAGCTGAGTATATTAGGTTGTTTTAAACATAGTGGTTGGAGCCACGACAGTGGAAAGACCATACACTAGTGATTCATGTTCAAGACGGCTCTACACACATCCCATGCAACTATCTTTTCATCATTGCTCCATATGATTGTCCTTTGCCTAACTCTTGTTTTAAATTGTTTACAACTCACTTCACATTTCTTTTGTTTTGTTTTCTCATTCTAGGTCCAAAACCACCTCATATTGCGAGCTAGCTACAAACCAATCTCACAAGGTGTTAAGCGAGAACACTTCCTCCTCGTGTTCGACCCCGACTACAACACGGCTGTGCACTTGCAGCTCATTAGTTGGGTTTATAAATTGTGAAAATTTGAGGCAATCTAAACCCGCCATCAGTAAGGAGTCCGAAATGTACCTCTGTGCCTCCACATTGTGGAAACTCACTTGTAGTGTATAAGATGAACTAGATGGACCCATACATACCCAAACATGGATTAATAGGTTCTCCACATTACTAGGACGAAACATGAGTGAAACGGTCTCAATCCAAGGGAGGAACATGAAATGGACCAAATTTGGGAACCGGAAGAGGTAAGGAGTCCAAAATGTACCTCTGTGCCTCCACATTGTGGAAACTCACTTGTAGTGTATAAGATGAACTAGATGGACCCATACTTACCCAAACATGGATTAATAGCTTCTACACATGACTATGAGGACAAACATGAGTGAAACGGTCTCAATCCAAGGGAGGAACATCAAATGGACCAAATTTGGGAACCGGAAGAGGTAAGGAGTCCGAAATGTACCTCTGTGCCTCCACATTGTGGAAACTCACTTGTAGTGTATAAGATGAACTAGATGGACCCATACTTACCCAAACATGGATTAATAGCTTCTACACATGACTATGAGGACAAACATGAGTGAGACGGTCTCAATCCAAGCGAGGAACATCAAATGGACCTAATTTGGGAACCCGAAGAGGTAAGGAGTCCGAAATGTACCTCTGGCCTCCACATTGTGGAAACTCACTTGTAGTGTATAAGATGAACTATATGGACCCATACATACCCAAACATGGATTCATAGGTTCTCCACATTACTATGACGACAAACTGATGTACTTGCATTTTACATAGTTTTAGCACATCTTTTATGCATCTTTTGCATAGTTTTAGCTTCCATTTGCATCATATCTTGTTCCTTTTCTCTTCTTATGCATTCATGTTAGTTTTAGGTTGCATTTGCATACATATGCATGTTTGGTCCTTTGAAATAGGTCTTTTGGAGCATTCTGGAGCATATGGGACATAAGGAGCATGGAGGGACTTGGCACATGGAAGCAGCTCAACTGGATACGCAAAGGAAGAAGGGAGAAGCCATCTTGAAGACCAGCTCGACCGTCCACTCGACCAACCGGTCGAGTTCCTCAACTCGACCGGCCAAGCTTCAACTCGATCGAGCTGAGAAGTCAAAGTCAAACCCGAAAAATGTTGCTTCCCCCTTGACTTTCCTTTGACCCTAAACCTAATCCTCTTGTATTTAAAGGCTCTAAGCCACGAAAAAACCACCAAGCTTTAGATTATTTTGTTTTAGTTTCTTTTAATTTATTGTCTTTTACTTTTTAGAGATCTAATCCCATCTTTGTGTTCTTGAAGCTCTTGCTTCTTGAATCCTAGATCCTGGATAATCTCTCTTGTATTTGCACTTGCTTATTTCAATAAAAGTTGTTTAATTTCATCTCCTCTTTCTTATGATGTCTCTTTTATTGCATTTGCTTGTGTTTACATTCATGTGTAGTGAGTAGTTACCCATTGGGGTTTGAGATGGGATAGATTAGAGGTTTCATATGCTTAATCCTTCTAGCTTATGGTCTTAATCTAGATTCTCTCTCTTTTGGATAGATCTTAAGGCTACATGACCACTACCCCTGGCTTGTAAGTCCTTAGGCGACTCCCCACACGAAGTGATGGCATTCGCTGGAAAAGATCCACTAAGAGCTCCAATATCTCTTGCTCTAGACAATAGAGGTCTAAGGGGTTGGATGGATTAGTTTGGGCAATGATCCTATAGCCTCCAAGGTTTGATTCTCACTGGCTAACCCCCTGTTTCTGAGATCATTCCTTGGTTGATAGCCTCCACCTTGGGAAAGGGTTGGCTAGGCATTGAGAAGCCCAATATCAAGAGAAGCCTTGATACAAGGAGTTTTAAGAGCTAGATTGATTAAGTGTAGATTCCTTTGATTGCAAAACCCTGTCTTGAACCCTAATTCTCTCTTTATCTTGTTAAAGTCGTCACCTTTAGCTTTGTTTGTCTCAACTCGTCCCTAAACTCGATCGAGCTGGTACTTTGCTCTGACTCGACTCGAGCTCTTGGTCGAGCTGACACTTCACTGCTTTGTTTACTTTTATTGCACTGCTTTTCATTTTATTTAGGTTGTTAGTGTTACTTCAAATCTATTACTGCTTGCTTGACTTCCTGGTTGTTTCATATTCTCATAGAGTGACAAGTTTCCCATTTTGGATTGATAACCCTTATACTTCAATGACTATGATGGTTAAGAGGGAATTGTTGATTGTGTTTTGCATCTTACCACCTCATCATATACCACTGTTGCATTCCACCTCATTTCATATCATTTCACATCCACACAAAATCCTATCATCAATTTGGCGCCGTTGCCGATTTGGGAATATTTTTGTTGCATTTGAGTTTCAAACACACTTGGACGATCAAGCTATACCACCCCTGTTCTATTGTACTGCTGGGTTTTTGTCTCTTTTTGCAGGTGTATGCGAACTCGATCGAGTCGGTCTACTGAGACTTGGTCGAGCTAGACTTACAACGGGTAGAAAGAGGGTTCAGAGGTCACAGAGGGTACAAGAGGAACCTGAGGTGCTTGTTGCTGATACAATGGATGTACCAGAGGGGAATGGAAACCCTTTGGGAATGGACTCGGTCGAGCTAGGCAAACTCGACCGATTGGTCAAGGAGATGCTCCAAACCGCCACCAACAGAGACAAGGGATTGTTCCACCACCAGTGCAGAACCACAACTTTGAGATCAAGCTGGGAATGATCAACCTTGTCCAGAACAAGATGTTCCATGGATTGCCAAGTGAAGACCCCATTGACCACCTTGATGAGTTTGATAGGCTTTGTGATTTGACAAAGATCAATGGTGTCTCTGAAGATGCCATCAAGCTGAGACTCTTTCCTATGTCTCTAGCTGACAAAGCTCACCAATGGGAGAAGAGCTTGCCCCATGGCACAATCACCACTTGGGATGAATGCAAGAAGGCCTTTCTTGCTAAGTTTTTCTCCACCGGTCGCACAGCCAAGCTTAGAGGAGAGATATCCAGCTTCATCCAGCGAAACAATGAGACATTCGCAGAGGCTTGGGAGAGGTTCAAAGGCTACACAAGTCAGTGCCCACACCATGGATTCAACAATGAATCACTACTCTCCACTCTTTATAGAGGATGCTTGCCTAGGTATAGGGAGATGCTAGACACAGCTAGCAATGGGAACTTCCTCAACCAGGATGTAGATGATGGCTGGCAACTTGTGGAGAACATAGCTAACTCAAATGGAAGCTATGGAGAAGAGTATGATCGCACCAATCGGAGCTCGACCCACCACTCGATCGAGTCAGACGAAAAGTTGAGAAAAGATGTTAAGGCATTGAATGAGAAGTTGGATAAGCTGATCCTAGCTCAGTCCACAATGAAGAAAGTCAACTTTGTGTCTGCTGAGGAGATGGAACCAGTCCAAGAAGGGGAGGATACACAATTTGCTGAGGTGTGCTACATGAGCAATGGGCAAGGAGGTTACAACAAAGGATACTATAACTACAAGTCCAACCCTGCCATGTCATACCGCAACACTGATGTTGCTAACCCTCAGGACCAAGTATATCCTCAACAACAAGCAGCTCGATCGAGTCAGGTGCCACAACATGGGTATGGTCAAAAGAACAATTACCAAGGACCACAAGGCACTTTCCCTGGACAACAAATGAATATCCCACCAGGCTTCCCCCACCAACCGCCCCAGCCTGCACCTTCACAAGAGAATGAGCTCAAGGCAATGCTAAAGCAACTACTTCAAGGGCAAGCTGATGGGGTAGTGGACACAAGCAAGAAGCTAGCTGAAATAAACTCTAAGATCGAGAACCTCAACACAAGGGTTTACTCTCTGGAGAATCATGCTTCTTCTGTTGCTGCTGCTACAAAGCAAGGACAACTACCTGGTAAAGCTATTCAGAACCCCAAGGAACAGTGCAAGGTCATCTTCACTCAAGAAGGACTTGTTGAAGAAGAGGATCAAGAAAGGGTCATTGAAGATTTTTGTTTACTGCTGAATGATGAAGAGATTGTTGCTGCTGAGGCTCCTGGAGTCCAGATTGATCAACCAGAAGTGCATGCACCTACTGTGGCCATTCACACTTCACCAGTTGAGCTCGCACGACAAGCTCGATCGGCAGCTCGATCGAGTCCAACTCTAGCTCGATCGAGTCCGACCTCTTCTGTCCGACAGCCTGTTTTGCTTGATCCTTATCAACCGGTTGCCGCTTCCTCGTCTCGCCTACTTAGTCAAGGTCACAAGGAAGTGATTCACAAGTTCAGAAGAGATCTCAGTGGGATTGGAATTGAGTTGCCTCCTATGGATAGCATGAGTGAGGCATTTGATCAAATGCAAATGGTCAAGGATGTTCTAGCCAACAGTGATAAAGTTTCAGAGGTCCTACAAGAGTCTACTCATCAGTTCAACCTGCTTACTTCACCCACTTCCTACCAAAGGTCAAGGATCAAGGGAAATTCACTCTCCCTTGCACACTTGGGCATCTTGAGATTGACAATGCCTTAGTGGATTCTGGAGCAAGCATCAATCTGATCTCTCTCTCCATGGCAGAGAAGCTAGGCATTGCTGGAGCCTTGCAGCGCCCTACTACTTCAATCATGTTTGGAGATGCAACTTCTAAGTCTCCTCTTGGAGTGTTCAAGAACTATCACTTGAAAATTGGAGAATGCATCATCCAAACTGATCTCACTGTGATGGAAATGGAAGAAGAGAAGGATTTGCCTCTGTTATTGGGAACCCCTTTCCTTAGTACAGTTGGCGCTTCAATAGACTTTCACAAGCAAGAAGTGATCCTTCACAAGGTGAATAGTTTGGTGTCATATCGCTTGCAGCCTAGAGGTTCAGACTTTTGTGCCACAATTGACAGTACCACTCTCAGTTCTAAGAGTCATGGAGCTACAAAGGTTGTGAAGGAAAGGGTTGACAAGAACCAAGAGTTGGGAAGGATAAGGATGAGAGAGGACCAAGGATTGAGAAGCCACGTCTTGAGAGGGCTAGAGTTGAGAAACCACGATCTGATAGGCCAAGAGCTGAGAGACTTGTTCAAGCCCCTTGTGTGCTTGATGAAGAGAGCCTTCAAGCTTTGTTTGATGAGCCACTAGGAAGGGCTCTAAAAGAAGGGGAGGATGTAGCCTCTAAGGCAAGACCAGGGATAAAAGAAAGGATCCACCAGCTCAGGCCCCTTCAGTCAAGCCATCTCAGCTCACAATGACTTTGTTCCCCACCAAGTTTGAAAATGGGAAGATTGAGTACAAGATAAGGTACAAGGGGAGATCAAGGCCATTCTCTAGAGCCAAGGCCTTGGTGACTTCAGAACAGTCCAGGGACCCAACCAAGCTAAAGGAGCTTCTGTCTCAAGTCCTCACTATCACCCTTGATGGTGGGACTAGCTCAACCAATGCCTAAGAAGGTAAAGGTCAAGCTATGGGACCTTAAACAAGCTCACTTGGGAGGAAGTCCCATGTTTATCCTTGTACATACTCTATTTATGCAATTTCTATCTATCTTTATGTTTTAACCTTTGAATAAGTTAAGTTTAGGTGTCAAAGGAGCCAGCTCGACCGATAGCTCGATCGAGCTAGAAACCAGGGCAACTCGATCGAGTCCACAACTCGACCCACAACTCGACCGAGGTAAGTTTTTGAATTTCAAATTCATAACCGTTTTCTTGGTCAAGGGAGTGGGTCCCACAAGCTGATTTTGGTCCCCCACTACCCTAATTTGATCAGAGAATCCCTAGCTTCTTGTTCCCTCTTTATTTCATCTTTTAATCTCAACCACACATCTCAAACACTCCCTCTTCCCCATAACTCGATCGAATCCACCTCTCTCTCTCCCACAATCTTAAAATTTCTGAAATCATCTCTCTCTCTCATCACCACAAGAAAAATCGATTTCTCTCTTTCTCTCTTAAGTTTTTGCGATTTCTCTTTCTTGTTCTCTTGCTTAGTTCTTGTTTCTGTTTCTTCCATCATTCAAGCAAGGTATGAACCCTGAAACCCTTGATTCTTCATCTCGATTTCCTATTGCTTGTTTCTCTTTGATTTTTGATTGCATGTGTCCCTTGTGGACTTGTTCTTGAGTAATTGCTCATATTTCGCCTCTCTGTATAATCTTGTTAATTTGCTTCACCTCACCTCTGTTTTGCCTTAAACTTGTTGCATGTGCTTGAAAATTGAATTTGAGTTTGGTATTGGTTAAGATGCTATGTTTTCACTAGAATTGCTCATTGTTCCATTTACTAGTTGTTCTTGGTTCAATTTGATTGATTAGCATCCTTTCCAGCTCTTAATACTTGAATTAGGTTCGGTTATACTCTGTTTTCACCCAGCTCGATCGAGTTTGTCACTCGAGTTTTTTGACTCGATCGAGCTGAGTGTCGAGTTGACCAAACCGATCATTGCAACTCTAATTCTTTGTAATCTTTGATGCATTTCAGGTACTTTAGTGAAGAAACAGAGTAACAAGATGACAAACAGTGAGGGAAGCGCGCTTCACAGAGGAGAATGGTTGAGGGTGAATCAAGCAATGCAAGGGAAAGAAGGCTTAAGATGCAAGCCGATTTGAAGAGGATGGATCAGAGGATGGAAGAATCTGATGCAGAGGATATGTATACTCTGAGGAGGACAGTCTGAGAGTGAGAGATTGAGGGAAGAAAGGAGAACCAAGAAGAGGAATGACCCTATTAGTAGTGAGAGTGAGCAAGGGGAGTTTGAGATTGGAGTGAACCTTGTTCAAGAGGAGGGAAATGGTTCTCCAATGAAGAAGGAGTGATGAGACTGAGAGTGAAGAGGAAGGAGAAGAGGTGAACCAATTGGTTGATGAAGTGAGCAAGAGGAACCAAGATGAACCATGGAGGAGGCTTGAGCACAGAGCAGAAGAGGAGGAGAGCTCCCCATGTACCAAGAGCACTACAATGCTCTCTTCTCCATGGACTTCATGGAACCAAGTACCCACATGTTGACACATGAAGGCCCTTGGAATCTTTGAGGATGTGGAGCTTTCTCAAGAACATGCACTTGGCCAAGCTTTTCTCTTACCACATGGAATCCTACAAGGAGCTCACTTGTGAGTTCTTAGCTTCAATGAGGTATCACATGTATGAGAGGAAGATAGAGCTGATTTGGACCAAGGATTGGGATGGATCACGTTCTTGGCTAAGGGAGAGAAGAGAATGGTGACCTTTAGGCAGCTTGGAATCTTGTTTGGGTTCAACTATGGAGAGGGACCAAGTGGAACTTCAAGGAAAAGGAACTCCAAAGGGTTTGGGCTACAATCGCTGATGGAGTGTACTCTTCCTCAAGGTCCAAGGCAGCTCAGATCAGGAGCCCAGTCTTGAGGTATGTGCACAAGGCACTTGCCAACACCTTCTTTGCAAGGAAGGCGACCGGGACAATCAACGAGGGGGAACTCAAGTTTCTTGACATGGGAATCAAGCCCATTCTCTCACGCACAAGCGATGGCAAGAGGATCAGGGGAGATAGATCTGACACAGGGAACTTGATGCCCTTCCTTGACCATCTCCTTACCTACAAGATCACAGCCTACAACACTAGGCATCAACGAGGAGGCGCTAAGTGTTGGAGGGCTCATCACACCTATCTTGTGTGCTGCTGGAGTGAACCCAACTGATAGAGAGCCACTGAACCAGGTTGGATGGACATCAAGTTTTGCAAGACCAACCTTCTCATTGAGCACAAGGAGTTGGATGGGAGATTCCAATTCAAGTTCACCATCCATTGGCTGGACCCTCCAAGTTCTCCTGCCTAACCCAGAGCTCACCACAGTAGTAGGGGTGAGAACATTGATTTCAGACCCCCTGTGTACACATTAGTTGGGCATGAGGATGATTTGCGAGAAGAGGAGCCTGAGCTCGATCGAGCTGAAGCTGAGGATCGAGCTGAGTCTGAGCTGAGATCAGGCCAGGAGAGTGCGGATTTGGGTGAGCCTGAGTGCTATTACTTTGAGGAGTATGAGGCTCCAAGGATGAACCCCTCTGTTGTGGCTGCCCACAAGAGGATTGGACTTCTCCAAAAGTTCAACAAATGGCAAGGGAAAGCCATTGAGAAGATGCAAAAGTCCATGGACAAGATGGTGAGCAAGATCAAAAGTTTGGAGAAGAAGGTTTCTGGTTCTTCAAGCAAGAAGAAGAAGTCCAAGGCCCCCACATTCCCTAGGAGTAGATCACTCTCACCACTCCAAGGAGGCTCCCTGCCCAAGAGCCTCACAGAGCCTCTTCTTTCGAGCCAAGGGAAGGAGAAGACAACACGCAGAGAAGGAGGAAGACTTCCAAGGCCAGACGCTCCAGCTCGACCACCGGACTCGATCGAGTCCAAACAGAGGAAACTCAACTCGATCGAGCTGAGGTCGAGTTGACCTGGAGGAGCCCCAGTTTGAGGATCCGGATTTGAGTACGATCCCAGCCTTACCAGGACCTCCCAGAGATGGAACCCCTATGGACAGTACGAGCTAAGCCAGCTCCACCAAGGCCAAGGAGCCACACACTTTGAGGAAGAGGAAGAGGAGAGCCGCAAGCTCGATCGAGTGAGAACCCAGTCGAGTGGAGTGCTCCTGATGGCCGTCTACCATCTCCAGACCACGACCTAGCCTCCCAGTTCTTTGGGGGGCACTGAGGTATCCAAACACCAACCCTTGTATATACCATTTCATATTTTCTTGCATTTGTTCTTGTTTTTTCTTGGTTTTTGCCTCTTGAATCTTTCACTAAATTTTCTCACACAAGGGACTGTGTGATTTAAGTTTGGGGGAGGGTTCAAGAGATGATTTAACCTTGTTTTCTTTGTTCTTAGTTTTTCATTTATCTTTTGCATAGAAAAACCAAAAAAATCATAAAATTTTCAAAAAATCCAAAAATATTTTCATCTTTTTGCATTCATATTTGCTTAGACTTGTTTAGGATTGCATTTTTCACTTGCATTGTTGATTTGACTTTGAAAACTTGTCCATCTTTTGCGATTTCTTGAGTGCCCTGTTTTTAGATTCTTTTGTGCATTAGGGTGAGATTGATTGAGCAGCAAGAACCATGTTTATCTTGATCATATCACTGCATGCACATCTCATTCAACCATTGCTGTGATTTGATGCATTTCCCTATCTATTTGAACCATAACTTGATCTTTAATTACCAATGCTTGCATTTGATTTCAACTCATGGCTACCACATACATATCTGGACATTCTTTACCTATTTTCATATCCCTTTTGCTTGTCCAGATAGCTGATCTCTATCTTTGAGACAGTTACCACACCTTAAACCTAAGCCTTTTCATTTCAAACCCCATATTATCTCTTGTGCGAATGTGAGAACCTTTCTTGGCTTTGCTTAGCATAAGGTGTTGTGTTTAAACCGGCAGGGGCAGTAGTTCTAGTTGTCTAGTTCTCTTGGGATTGTTTTCAGGCTAAGTTTGGGGGTGCCAACTCGAGCTCGATCGAGTTGGGTGTAAAAACCAGAAAAGTGGTAAAAGTTGGGAAAAACCCAAAGGAAAAAGAGTTTAGTTAAGTCCAGGGAGTTGGCAGTGTTAAAAAGGGTCTAGTAAAGGTTTGGGAAGTTAAAAAAGGAAAGTAAAAAGGGTTCTAAGTAGAATGAAAAGAAGGCAAAGCCTCAAGTGTCAAAAAGGAAAGAAAAGTTCCCTAAGTGTTTAGAAAATCCCAAACCGCTAGATGTTACCTCAAGAAGCCTCTCCCTAGGAAGTTCTTAAAAGAAAAGTGAGCAAAGCTCCTCAGTTTCAAAGGCGAAATGCCAAAAAGGGTAGTTAGGATTTTGTTCTAAAAAGCTCTAAGTGTTGAACTCGATCGAGTTAGGATTAGGCGGCTCGAGCTGCTGTTCTTGCATCATCTTTGGTTCTAACACTTAGCCTTCTGCCAAAGCAAAGCCACTTTCTTGAGAGATCCCTGTTACTAAACCACCATACAAAAGAGACCCTCTTTGTCTCTTAACCCATAAACCCTTGAAACCAAATGAGTTGATTGATCTTGCATGTTTTTGGTTCACTGTTTTTGCTTAATGAATGTTAAAGGGATTTGCTGATTTGAATGCATTGTTTGAGTGACTGTGAAGTGGGATTGATGTTGATAAGCATGGTTAAATCTTAATGAATATCTCTCACCTTGTTGCATTCTAGAATCTCTAAGTTGGACATTTAGCAAATCGCTTTTGAGGACATGTTTTTAAGTGTTGAATCAGCTTATTTTCAAACCTCATCTCTTTCTTGTTCTATTTGTTTGCTTGAGGGCAAGCAAAGTTCAAGTTTGGGGGTGTTGATGTACTTGCATTTTACATAGTTTTAGCACATCTTTTATGCATCTTTTGCATAGTTTTAGCTTCCATTGCATCATATCTTGTTCCTTTTCTCTTCTTATGCATTCATGTTAGTTTTAGGTTGCATTTGCATACATATGCATGTTTGGTCCTTTGAAATAGGTCTTTTGGAGCATTCTGGAGCATATGGGACATAAGGAGCATGGAGGGACTTGGCACATGGAAGCAGCTCAACTGGATACGCAAAGGAAGAAGGGAGAAGCCATCTTGAAGACCAGCTCGACCGTCCACTCGACCAACCGGTCGAGTTCCTCAACTCGACCGGCCAAGCTTCAACTCGATCGAGCTGAGAAGTCAAAGTCAAACCCGAAAAATGTTGCTTCCCCCTTGACTTCCTTTGACCCTAAACCTAATCCTCTTGTATTTAAAGGCTCTAAGCCACGAAAAAACACCAAGCTTTAGATTATTTTTGTTTTAGTTTCTTTTAATTTATTGTCTTTACTTTTTAGAGATCTAATCCCATCTTTGTGTTCTTGAAGCTCTTGCTTCTTGAATCCTAGATCCTGGATAATCTCTTTGTATTTGCACTTGCTTATTTCAATAAAAGTTGTTTATTTCATCTCCTCTTTCTTATGATGTCTCTTTTATTGCATTTGCTTGTGTTTACATTCATGTGTAGTGAGTAGTTACCCATTGGGGTTTGAGATGGGATAGATTAGAGGTTTCATATGCTTAATCCTTCTAGCTTATGGTCTTAATCTAGATTCTCTCTCTTTTGGATAGATCTTAAGGCTACATGACCACTACCCCTGGCTTGTAAGTCCTTAGGCGACTCCCCACACGAAAGTGATGGCATTCGCTGGAAAAGATCCACTAAGAGCTCCAATATCTCTTGCTCTAGACAATAGAGGTCTAAGGGGTTGGATGGATTAGTTTGGGCAATGATCCTATAGCCTCCAAGGTTTGATTCTCACTGGCTAACCCCCTGTTTCTGAGATCATTCCTTGGTTGATAGCCTCACCTTGGGAAAGGGTTGGCTAGGCATTGAGAAGCCCAATATCAAGAGAAGCCTTGATACAAGGAGTTTTAAGAGCTAGATTGATTAAGTGTAGATTCCTTTGATTGCAAAACCCTGTCTTGAACCCTAATTCTCTCTTTATCTTGTTAAAGTCGTCACCTTTAGCTTTGTTTGTCTCAACTCGTCCCTAAACTCGATCGAGCTGGTACTTTGCTCTGACTCGACTCGAGTCTTGGTCGAGCTGACACTTCACTGCTTTGTTTACTTTTATTGCACTGCATTTCATTTTATTTAGGTTGTTAGTGTTACTTCAAATCTTTACTGCTTGCTTGACTTTCTGTTGTTTCATATTCTCAAAGAGTGACAAGTTTCCCATTTTGGATTGATAACCTCTTATACTACATTGACTATGATGGTTAAGAGGAATTGATTGATTGTGATTGCACCATTTCATCTTTATTCACCCCTGTTTGCATTCCACCTCATATCTTATCATCCTTCATTCATATCCT